TTGATGTATCTCAAGAATATTATTGGTTTTGTAGTGCATTTGTTTTTGAACACTGTCACCTGAGCATTTCAATCTCACTTATGCTAAGTGTGTCCACAGATTCTTTTGTTAGGTTTCAGAGGAACAGCCGTGTTAGTCTGTATTCGCAAAAAGAAAAGGAGTACTTGTGGCACCTTAGAGACTAACCAATTTATTTGAGCATGAGCTTTCGTGAGCTACAGCTCACTTCATCAGATGTTTACCGTGGAAACTGCAGCAGACTTTATATACACACAGAGAATATGAAACAATACCTCCTCCCACCCCACTGTCCTGCTGGTAATAGCTTATCTAAAGTGATCAACAGGTGGGCCATTTCTAGCACAAATCCAGGTTTTCTCACCCTCCACCCCCCACACAAATTCACTCTCCTGCTGGTGCTAGCCCATCCAAAGTGACAACTCTTTACATAATCAAGTAGGGCTATTTCCTGCATAGATCAAGGTTTTCTCACATCCCCCCCACCCCCATACACACACAAACTCACTCTCCTGCAGGTAATAGCTCATCTAAACTGACCACTCTCCAAGTTTAAATCCAAGTTAAACCAGAATATCGGGGGGGGGGGGGTAGGAAAAAACAAGAAGAAACAGGCTACCTTGCATAATGACTTAGCCACTCCCAGTCTCTATTTAAGCCTAAATTAATAGTATCCAATTTGCAAATGAATTCCAATTCAGCAGTTTCTCGCTGGAGTCTGGATTTGAAGTTTTTTTGTTTTAAGATAGCGACCTTCATGTCTGTGATTGCGTGACCAGAGAGATTGAAGTGTTCTCCGACTGGTTTATGAATGTTATAATTCTTGACATCTGATTTGTGTCCATTTATTCTTTTACGTAGAGACTGTCCAGTTTGACCAATGTACATGGCAGAGGGGCATTGCTGGCACATGATGGCATATATCACATTGGTGGATGTGCAGGTGAACGAGCCTCTGATAGTGTGGCTGATGTTATTAGGCCCTGTGATGGTGTCCCCTGAATAGATATGTGGGCACAATTGGCAACGGGCTTTGTTGCAAGGATAAGTTCCTGGGTTAGTGGTTCTGTTGTGTGGTATGTGGTTGTTGGTGAGTATTTGCTTCAGGTTGCGGGGCTGTCTGTAGGCAAGGACTGGCCTGTCTCCCAAGACTTGTGAGAGTGTTGGGTCATCCTTTAGGATAGGTTGTAGATCCTTAATAATGCGTTGGAGGGGTTTTAGTTGGGGGCTGAAGGTGACCGCTAGTGGCGTTCTGTTATTTTCTTTGTTAGGCCTGTCCTGTAGTAGGTAACTTCTGGGAACTCTTCTGGCTCTATCAATCTGTTTCTTTACTTCTGCAGGTGGGTATTGTAGTTGTAAGAAAGCTTGACAGAGATCTTGTAGGTGTTTGTCTCTGTCTGAGGGGTTGGAGCAAATGCGGTTGTATCGCAGAGCTTGGCTGTAGACGATGGATCGTGTGGTGTGGTCAGGGTGAAAGCTGGAGGCATGCAGGTAGGAATAGCGGTCAGTAGGTTTCCGGTGTTGGGTGGTGTTTATGTGGCCATTGTTTATTAGCACTGTAGTGTCCAGGAAGTGGATCTCTTGTGTGGACTGGACCAGGCTGAGGTTGGTGGTGGGATGGAAATTGTTGAAATCATGGTGGAATTCCTCAAGGGCTTCTTTTCCATGGGTCCAGATGATGAAGATGTCATCAATATAGCGCAAGTAGAGTAGGGGCTTTAGGGGACGAGAGCTGAGGAAGCGTTGTTCTAAATCAGCCATAAAAATGTTGGCATACTGTGGGGCCATGCGGGTACCCATAGCAGTGCCGCTGATCTGAAGGTATACATTGTCCCCAAATGTGAAATAGTTATGGGTAAGGACAAAGTCACAAAGTTCAGCCACCAGGTTAGCCGTGACATTATCGGGGATAGTGTTTTTGACGGCTTGTAGTCCATCTTTGTGTGGAATGTTGGTGTAGAGGGCTTCTACATCCATAGTAGCCAGGATGGTGTTATCAGGAAGATCACCGATGGATTGAAGTTTCCTCAGGAAGTCAGTGGTGTCTCGAAGGTAGCTGGGAGTGCTGGTAGCGTAGGGCCTGAGGAGGGAGTCTACATAGCCAGACAATCCTGCTGTCAGGGTGCCAATGCCTGAGATGATGGGGGCGCCCAGGATTTCCAGGTTTATGGATCTTGGGTAGTGTGTATGCATAAAGCTGCAGATGTACAGATGAAGGTTGCATTGAGGCCCATTTGAAAACATGGCACCAAGTGTGTTAATGTGATATAAATTTATAGAATAACTCCTTCCTAACCTATATGTAAGGTAGCATAGCTTTGGAATTTTTGGTGCTGAGAATACCAAGTGTTTGAGACTGAGTTTAGAGCTCATAAAGCAGAGATTTGTTACTTGCTGTGATAATTGGAGGACACCTACTGGGCATAGTGTTTCTTGTTTCTCTTTCTGGTTTTAAACTCTTTACTATGGTTTATGTTGAGGTTTTTAGACTTTGCTCAGTATCTACCCCTCTGTGAAAATGAGTCACTGTTATGTAGATTTTTCTCAAAGTATTGTTTGATGAAAATTCATTCAGGAAGTACAATGGAGAAGTTACTGTTTTACACAGATATCGATCTCTGGTATAACTAATGCATTCAGTGAAGTGATACTTAAAAATAACTCTGAAATTATGTTTTCACCATTGCTGTTAGAAAAGTCTGTCTAAACTGGTTCCCAAGCTCTTTCATAGTGTAGATAATGTTCAGATTAATGTTCAGATTTTTTGGGTACCAGTTTAACTCCCAATTAACTGCATAATATTCCTATGACAGCAAGATTAATTCCTCACAGGAAAAGTTATAGGAAAGTATGTATTTATTTATTACTTGTCTTGAGTGGTGTTCTTGGAAAGAGTTAATCAGATTGACTACTTTTGCTCTTCATTTTACCTCTCCTCCCAGCTGTTATGACTTTCTCAGTTGGAAACAAGGAGAGGCAGCACCACATGACCAGACAGCTCTCCATATCAGCATGTGCTCAATGGGCTGTGGGTTGGGAGTTTCTTGTCTAGACTGTAGGAAAAGTAATGCTACTTTAGACTTGGCTGGCTTTCTCTGAAATGTTTATCATTGACAGGGCCAGCATTACAATTTATGGAATCCCGTGTTTCTGGAAGGGGGAGGGAATATAAGGCAGAGTTCCCTTCTTCTGTTAAGTCAAGGATGCTGTTGGGGGCGTCTAGCATCAAGCAGACTTCTCAGCAGCCTTTCCCCCACAGCCCTATTGATGAAGAGGTAGATGGGACCACCCATGAGATGTACTGGTATAATGGGATGGAGGATCCAAAGTGGCTGCTTGCACAGCTTGTGCCTAGTTAGACTCCACTGGAATCAACAGACTGCATGAACTGTGGCTGATTCTGGATCAGGACTTTTGTGTTTAAGACTGGCCCTGATCATTAATCCCACAGTTCAGGTTAGACACGTGCTGTGGCTCCATGAAAACCATTTATATTGGCTGTGTTGTTCTGTTCTCTTTGCATGAGACCGATTTCAAACTGGAACTCTTTATCAGCTTCTAGTTTTCTCAGTGTGGTAAAGTGTAGGCAGAATGCCTATGATGATGATGGAGCAGGTTCCTTTACATGGTAAGCCACCTATCTGAGCACAGACTGAACAATCCTCTGGGGCATCTCCTGCATTTGTTTTTTTCTCTCTGCTTACGTTGTAAACTCACTGGAGCAGGGATTTTCTCTCTTCCTGTCTCATACAGCACTAAACACACTGTATAATGCTTCAGTGGTAGTAATGCTCAACTGCCGGTTAAGCCCCATGTTTTCATGAAACCCTTAAAGCTATGGCCTTGTGGGGGAGAAAAAGTATTGTAAAATTTCATTTTTATTGAGTTCGTTATGTAAGGACAGATATGAATTTCAGGGTTTAACCCCTATTGTGGCATATGATGGTACTGTATTTGTCGATCAAGAACATAGCTTTCACCAGTCTGGCTTTACAGCAGACTTTTTTCAAGAATGCCATAAAATATTGGGCTGGTTCAGTCTGTTATGTGAGTATTTGTTACATGCCACCATATGAGCAATTTGAGTGATTCTCAAAAGTACAGTACATTAATAGACTGAACAAGAGTAAATATTTTAATTTAACATTTAATCTATGCCACCACTGTTGAATATACACAATATTATCCAACCCTAATATCAAGCTGTCTGTGGTTTGGATCCTAGGTTCTTTCCCATAGTACTATGCTGACAGTTGACCAGTGTGGCCATCCTAGCTAACAGACCCTAGATTTGAACTCTGGGCACTGATGTGCATTCTCTGTCTTGTGCTCTGGAATTTGCTTTCCTTGTTGGTCTGACAGAATTGGTCTGACACTTGGGACATAGTACAAGTCTACTCATTCAGGATTTTACCCGGAGGAGTGGAAACTGGGTGGTTTTGTCTTTATGCTTGCCATTCTCACCTTATTTTAACGTATGGTGAACGTACCTTGTGCATAAACTGGTCACATCTTTATGTATGAAAATAGGTATGTACTATCATGGGTGTTCACTTGAAATCAAGCACTTCAGCTGGCAACATGCTCTGAGTGTGTGTGCTGAACTTAGTTTTATGTAAGAGCAAGATTGTAACAGCTCCTTCAACTTCCAGGTGGTAGGCTGGAGGAGTATCCTTTTCCCTCTTATTGCACACAGGCAGCTCCCTAAGCCAGGAGATGTGGTGGCCATTTTGGGCTCAGTTCTTCTTGTAATTATACAATATAACATGTTTTAAATGTGGCATTATTTGAGCACTAAAATGTATGCACGAAAATTTAAATAACTTTCTCTTCCTTGTTGCAGATCCATAACATGGTGGCAGTGCTGGAAGTGATCTCCAGCTTGGAGAAATATCCCATAACCAAAGAGGCACTTGAGGTATGTCACCTTACATGTAAAATCCACATATGCTTATGTATGAAAACAGATCGCCTCTGTACAATATCTTTTGAATCCCCTTTAATGTATTCCAGCTCTTCCACAAAAACAGATAAACAACAAAAGATTACAAATTTAAGGCAAAGATATAGTAATTAGTCCCCACTCCTCCTTCTGGCACCTCCGTACATGACCGAAAGAGTTGTCTTGGTGGAATCATATACCAGTAGAAGAGTAACTACATTGGTGTATGGGGCAATCCAATTTCTGTTCACATAAGGGACCAGAGCAATCCCTACTTGCCACTGGTTAATTCCTTGTCTTATTCAGCCAGTATCACTTCTGTATCTTATGACTGGTCACTTTCTTCTTCTTGCTCAAATTCTAATTCTCTTTGATAACCTACCATGAATAACATCACTTTATATAGCCATAAAATTAGTTTGAAATATGCCCAATTCAGTGCCAATCGTTGATTGGCTGTGAGGTTAGTTCCCCCTGTGAGAATACTATATAGCTAAAGAACGCTGACTCATACACATTGGGTAATTCATTGTTAATTCACTTTTCACTCTTATGCCATATGCCCTCTGTGAGATTTGGTATACAAAAGGGATCACTGAGAGAACCACCAGATTATGACTTCCAGTACCTCTGCTGGTGGGACAGCAACTGCACAAGCTGGTCCTCTTTGGACCCTTTTAAATCCATAAAGCTAAAGAGGATTTTTTTGCACCTAGATGTTTAAAATATTTAATTTAAATTTAAAGCTTTGGAATTCAAACTTCTGTTGGTGAAAGAGACCAACTTTTGAGCTATGCAGAGCTCTTCTTCAGGTCACCAGTTGCTGTCGATGAATGCACTTAAACTGGCAGTGTCATGCCTCTGAAAAACATAACTGACTTGTATTCAAAAGGGATCCAATTACATTCCTCATTGGGAATCTTTTACTTTCTAGGACAGCACAGCACTGCTCTGCCAATGCCAGTCATAATCATGATTCATTTCCAATTGGCTCAGGTTGAAATGTATCCACTGTTATCAGTTTCAAACCTATCATGTCCCATCCCCTCTAACATGCAAAAGGAGTTAGTGCTTCACTTCACAGACTGCACTTTCTTTGGTCTAATGTTATATGCCAATATTCCTTACCTGTAATCTGATTTCTGGGGCAGTTGCCTAATGTTTCCAAATGAATGTTTTGGGTATAACCACAAAACAAAGAAGGGCTCAGATATTTCCCTTGCAAACTGAGGGAAGTCATGTTTAGGCACCCCAAGAATTTTATTTAAATTGGCCCCATAAATCATTCCCACAGCACTTGGGGAAAATTCTATCTTTGACTCTGGAGGGTGGAGTAGGATGTGACAATAAGCCAAGAGTGATTATCAGCTCTAAGGTCTGTGATTTCTTGTCCCTCTTTCTACATGCCCGTGGTGGTTAACACACACCTTGTCTGGTTGGGGGTTGTGCACACCTTTCCCCAGAACTTGAGCATGCTCCTTGGTCACCTGCAAGAGGTTCCTATTGAGTGAGGGACTCCTTTCCCACCACCCTCCCCAGATGGCTCCCATGGCACTTCAGCCAGTGGAGAAAGAGGAGATAAATAATCAAACTTACAGTAGGTTTCCTAAATGGTGGAGCATGGGGTCAGCTGAATCAATCCCTTCCAAAAAGACTAATGGCATAATATCTTATTTAGCTCCTACATTCTTTGTGAATTTTTGGTTTGATATTTGGCAGAACGGTATGCACTGACAAGTGAAAATGCATCTTACAATTTGACTTGCATGCTATCTGTTCAGAATTAAATTTTTGTAAAACAACTCTTCTCACTTTTTATAGGAAACAAGATTAGGGAAACTCATCAATGATGTAAGAAAGAAGACATCCAATGAGGAACTTGCCAAACGTGCCAAGAAATTGCTACGGAATTGGCAAAAACTAATAGAACCTGTAACCCAGAATGAATCCGTTCCAAGAGGATTACCAAATCCACCTGGATCAGCAAACGGTGGTGCACACAACTGTAAACCAGAAGTGCCACCTGCTGTAGTAACTGGATCAAAGCCCATCAATGAATTGAAAAGCAGGAATGATATCCAAAAGCTAAACTCCCCGAAAACAGAAAAACTGGGAAATCGGAAAAGGAAAGGCGAACATAGGGATGGGCATCAGGGCCCCCCTCCTTCTAAAGTTTCCAAAGGTAGTCATGAAGTATTACAAAACTCTTCTCCTCCACCAACTAATGGGATTGCGGGGAGCCCTGAAAGTTTCCCCAGTCCTGTAGATGTAAACCTGCATCCAGGGCCTGAAAGCAGCAGGACAGAACATAGTGAAAATGACAAACACAGTAAGATCCCAGTAAATGCTGTAAAACCTCACACCAGTTCTCCAGGACTTGTAAAACCTTCAAGCACTTCCTCATTATTAAAGACTGCAGTGCTTCAGCAGCATGATAAATTGGAAGAAACCACAGGACAGCACCAACCTAAGAGTCCCCGCTGTTCCTCATTTAATCCTGGGAATATTAGGCATGACACATTTGCTCGACAGCATATCACATACTCACCAAAGGGTTCAATACCTAGTCCATCTCAAAGGTCCCAGTTCTTAGATACTGCACAGGTGCCATCACCACCACCCCCTTCCTTGATGCAACCATCAACACCTCCAATGCCAGCAAAAAGACTGGAGGTTTCTCAGCAATCAGGAACTGAGGTATCTCAACATTGGCAGGAGCAGGCATCTTCTGAAAGCCAGCACAGGCACACAGCAGGGACACTTCAGCACACATCTCCTAGCTGCAAAACTAACTTGCATCCTGGGGAATCTCTGACGCCACATGTTGGCTTTTCACCGGACACTTCAAAAATGGACAGTGATGATGCTGCTTCAGGTTCAGATAGTAAGAAGAAGAAAAGGTACAGACCCAGAGACCATACAGTCAATTTGGATGGGCAGGTCGTAGAAGGGGGTGTGAAACCTGTGAGATTAAAAGAAAGAAAACTCACGTTTGATCCCATGACCGGACAGATAAAACCTTTAACACAAAAAGATTCTTTGCAGGCAGAAATCCCTGTAGTCGCTGAACAGCACAGGACAGAAACAGACAAGCAGGAGCAAAAACCCAACCTGCAAAGTCCTTTTGAACAAACGAACTGGAAAGAGTTATCCAGAAATGAAATAATTCAGTCGTATTTAAACAGACAAAGTAGCTTGCTGTCTTCATCAGGAGTACAAACCCCAGGAGCTCACTACTTCATGTCTGAATATTTAAAGCAGGAGGAAAGCACTAGAAGAGAAGCTAGAAAGACTCATGTTCTAGCTCCTAACAGCAAACCCACAGACTTGCCTGGGGTCACAAGAGAGGTCACAAGCGATGACCTCAACAGAATACGTGAACATCACTGGCCAGGCGTGAATGGCTGTTATGATACACAGGGTAACTGGTATAATTGGACGCAGTGCATATCTTTAGATCCACATGGGGATGATGGTAGATTGAACATCCTGCCTTATGTCTGCCTAGACTGAGTACAGTTTTGCTAAAATGCTCTCACATCAGCAGTTAGAAAAAATGGCAGACACTATGCCACTTAACATGGAGAGAGCCTCCTGTCCTGGACAAACAGGGCCAACGAGCAGAGGGTCTGAAGGAGCTGGTTGTTTACAGCTCTTTCCTTTAAATTCTCCTTTTGTGAAATGCTGCTACCAGTTTACTAACAAAATTGCAAAGGAAGGCATTCGAAGGTTGATAATTTGAGTTCAAAACTCTATAGCAAGCCAGCTATAAAAAAGTGTTAGTCCCCAAGAAGTGAAGATGATTTCCAGCACTTTGTGAATGCCGGAATCTTATTACAGGCAGGTACAGATAAAATTGTAGAAATTACCTTAACAAAATATGCATCTATTTATTTGACTTGATTTGAGTTTATTTGGCAGTGAGATGTCTGAGACAATGTGCAAAAAATCTAGTTTTTATTTGCATCAGATCTTTGAACATGATTGTGTTCTTTTCAAATTATGTGGTGCAAAGATTGGGTTTTAAACAGCAGGTGTTGCACTGCAGGTTGGCGATCCGGCTTCAGCTCAACATTCCATAGGCATCCACATACTTTAGTCTGGTTTCAGTTAAAATCCAGTCTCTCAGAAATGCTGCAAAAACTAGGTTTTTTTTAAATTTTTTTCTTCCACCACCAGCCAAATCATTTTTCTCCTTTTCCCTTCCTGCAAACCTCTAGAAAAATTCACCTTTTCTAGAATCCAAAAGGAATGAGGGTGCTACAAGTTTGTAACTGTACTGTGAGGGGAAAAAGGAAGCCTGTTTATATGCTGGAAATATACTTGTTACCATTCCTTTAGATATTGTTTGCCTTATGGATATCCATCATAAACGCAATTTGCAAAAACAAAGAGCCTTAGTGAATGTACAGTAATTAGACTTCTGTGTTCTTGGGATGCAGAAGGGAGCAACTTTGCTATTTGGTCCTTTAAGTGGACACATTGTGATATAAATGTGGAAATAAAAAAATTTGCACAAAAAAGTTTGTGAATTATTTATATTTAAACTGGTTACTTTCAAAGTTTGGTCAGTTCAGAAAAGCCAAGTTGAAGCTAAGTACATATTGCCAGCAGTATGATTAAAACTGCATCCTGTTAGTCTACTTTCTAAACCAGTTAAAGGTCGTTAGTCATATAAGATGTACTGTCTAGCTTTTCTTAGTCTTCCAAGTGTGCTGGCAATATTTACTAATATATACTGGATAATTTTAACTATGGTTAAATCCAGGGAGAATGTGCTTGGTTCGGAGAGAGTCCTCCAAGTTACTTTTACTATACCTCACAAGTTGAGCTAATTGTTCAGCTTTCTCTCCAGTCCACTTTTGTATGTAGTAATAATAATTGTAAAATGTCTTTCACCTCTGATCACAGTCTGATTCAGTAATATTTTTATATTCAATATAGGCAAAATACTTGCAGCTCCTGTTAATATATTAGCAATTGGAATAATTTACTTTTACAGCATCTGGTATTGGGCTTTTGGCCTGCTGGTGCTTTAAAAAAAAAATCTGGATTACTGCCACTGCAGTAACATTAGATACATCAACAATCCTGCTTCCACTGAGGTCCTAGTAAAAGTCCCACTGATTTTAGTGAGAGCAGGATCAGGCTCTTAATTTTCAAACAAAATCTACTTTCTATAATGGATGTTATTCACCAGGTTAGCATTGGCTTGTTCCACGGAGTACAATGAGAAAAGATTAGATTTTAAAAGCTTTCCCATTCAGACTGAATGCTTCTGTGATTTGCCTGGCTTGTGAAATATTGAAACCTGCTGTATATGGGTATTTCAAAATCTCTCCTCAGTGCCTAGTTGTTCCCTTTTCTCCAGGACTTCAGAATTAGAAAGGCTTCTCAGCTGGAAAAACCAGCCACCCTAAAAATGTTTCCAAGTATATTTTCAGTTTACTTCCATTTTTTACCCTTCTGCAGTGATAAAGACTACCCAAGCTGTTTGGAGCTGGGGAAGGTAGTATCACCTTGTGTCTTGGAAAGGGTGGAATGGGTGGGGAAGATGCTTGACATTTATTTATTTAGAAAACTTACACACTAAAACACCCCACCCAGGGAGTCTGTTTGCTTCCCCTTTCCCTGAAAGACCTTGGTTATTAACCTGCCCATCTTAGGGCCTTTGAATTTAGGGTTACTCTCAGAAGGGAATGGTTGGGCTCTGATCCACCACATAATTTTTGGCCACTGTTTTATTTCCTGTTTACTCCATTTCTTCTGAAATTCTGGCTGCACTACAGGGGTCTGTAGAGGAATATAATACTCTAAATTGTCACTGGCATTTGCAAGCAACTTGCCACAGTGCCCAGAGGCTGACTAACCACTGTGATGATCTTAATTTCATCTATTTTTTAGGGGAGGAGTCTAAAGTATCAGACCCAGCTCTTGTCCACAGCCCTACAAACTGATCAGACATTCCACTGATTACTGTGTGCTTTAAATCTCTTGTGTGACTAGATTTCATGGTTCTAAACTAGGTCGTCAACCAAGTTGGAAGTAATCCAGGGTCAGAAATAGGTTCAAAGACATTTATATTTCAGCATGGTCTATTAGTGTAAACGGTGATGTTCTATCAGCTCCAGCAAATGTTGAAGATGTTTACAAGGTGGTCTTGTTAATTTTGTAAACCAGTTCAAATGAAGTTTACCTTGTACATGTTTACCTTTGTGTATTTTCATATTTTTGCATGGACTGTTTCTTAGCCAGTTGCTTGTACCCTAGGTGCTTTCCAAAATGCACTGTCCTTGCCCTAACACTTACAATCTAACAAGTGTAGAACAGACATCTCCTTCCACTGTGGCATTGAAAGGCTCCCATGTATGAATCTAGGTTCTGATATGGCCCCATTCCAGTATGGGTGCCTGTATATTAGGTGTGCTGAGATGGTTTTATATAAATTCCTTTATTTTTCAAAGGATGCATAGAAGAAATAAGCAGTACAAACAATTGATATTTACCTATCCAGGAACCATTCAATGTGTCTTGCATTCTATATTTTAGTTAGCCTTAGTTTACTACGAACACTTTACATGATGCTGCTCAAACACTCAACAATAATTTCCCTTAAATGGTTGCAGGATTTTTAACAAGCGTAAAGAAGTGTTTTATCAGTATTGGTGGTAACAGAGTAGAAACTCCCATCCCTAGGAGGAAGACTGTATGGAAACAGTGGCCTTAACAAGCTATCTGTTGCTTCATTGTAAAAGTTATGTGATGTGTTAGAGAGGAGGTTCCCAGCAGGCTATTAGTATTATCCTTTTGTGTTCAATGCACTTAGGGAAAAAGCCCGACACAACACTTACTCTTGCTAGACAATGTTTTACTAATGCTACTACCTCAAACTTTTCAGGAATGTTATCCCACCTGAGTAGGTGTGTTAATCTTGCCCATGACTACCACTGTCAATACAAATCTAATTTTTTAAAAAAAACTTTCTCCCTTCACTTATGAGGGGAGCCCCTCATGAAAATAATTATGCATTGTACCAAAGCAATTACATCTATTAACTATCCCTAAGTTTTAAGCACTACTGAAACACTTATTGTTAAAATTGGTGACCAAGAGTGGCTAGCATGGAGGACTGACTATCTTTATGCTGTTTGCGCTCCCTGGTCCAAATCTGGTGTGCATGAATTTTGAGTGAACACCCATGCGATGCTAACTATGAAATTAGTTGGTCTTATTCTAGCACACTTTTAAACAAGTGTCCCAGTTGGCATCTTTACTGATAGTATAAGTGGAAGGCAGATTATCTGAATTAGTAATAGTGTAAGTTACCTGTGTTGTCCTGCAGATGACCCCTCCAATTCATGAATGAATTGTGTAAGTGAGGAAACTGCTTCCTGTGGTGGTTTGTGGAGTTCATTTTCCAGGACTCTGGGTTGCAATGTCTTTCATTAGTACTAAATTCAGTGCTCATTTAAATGTGGGGTAGGTGGATGGACAGTTAGCAATTTTCCCCTGAATTTTAAAATTAGTGAGACGGGAAGAGGGAGGTGGGGGTGTGTCACATCAAAAAACACGTTTGGAAATGTAGGAGTTTGACAAGAAATCACAAGATGTGAAATGAGGTCTTGATTTTTTTCCATTTGCAGGGAAGGAAACAGTGGTGTATACAGTGAGCTGCCCTCACCTCACTCTGTGAGCAGCTGAAGCCTGAAGGAGGGGGATACCTCATTTGTTTACCACAGATTGCAAGTGGAAAAATTCTGTCACCAAGAAAGTGATGCCCTGGGAGTCCTGGACTAAGGCCTTCAGTCCCACACAGCTAACACCTCAGATACAGAGGAGGTCCCAAAACTCCTGTCCATCTATTCCCTGAGAAAAAAATTACAAAACTGAAAAAAAAACTAGTCAGCTTTATCCTTCTGTACCCTTTTTACTTCATGTAAACAAGTTTATGTGCTTTTACCTACGTGAAGTACTTTCTTTTGTAACTATGCTATCTTAAGGGGAAAAGGTGCCTTTTGTGCTCCCTACCCCTCACCCTATTGGTTTTATGTGCTAGTATCTAGGAGTCCTAGTCATATTCTAGGTCCTGTACACAGATCAAAAACACACCTTCCCTCTAAAGTGTTTAGAACTAACAGCTGCCTGGAGTCAGAGGGGAGTACAGAGAAACAACAGCACTGGTAGACTACATCAAAGACTGTAATCTCTACATCCCCTCTATGTGACCATTGTCAAGGGGCAAAATATACATATGTGTACCTTACTACAATGGTGTTAGGACAGGCATGATTGGTGGCAGACATGGGGCAGTTCAGAGTAAAGAGTGTGATTTGGTAATTTTTATTGGTGGGGGTGAGATCTGCCTCTTGGCTAAATGCTTTTCCAAGCCTTCCTGATCTTTATTAATGATATGCATTAGATAGTAGAGAGTACATCTCCAGTGTATGGTTATTAGTATTTGTTTTTTAGGCCATTCACAAAAATAATGCAAAAAAGCTCTATGTCACCATTATTAAATGCAGGCAAGCAGACTCCCATGACAACCTCTATAAATGCACTGACCCTGACTAACGAATCCGTCAAACGCATGCTAATGTAGACTGCTTCTGAGTTTAATATTCCTGTAACAATTCATGAGTAAGTTAGGTCTGCGGAAGTTTTACCTAGGTTAATTCTATGGAGTAGCTGGCAACAGTTAGTTCTTAAGGCACTTCCCTCTTCTGAAATTGTACCACCATCCTCCCTCGCCCTTCATTATTTTACAGCTGGTGTGCGCTCATGGTGACGTAACAGCTGGTTTGGGGGGAATCTTCCAGAACTACCGCGTTGTGTTTAAGTTGCACTAGCCGTGTTTGAACTGTTAGAGAGGAAAAGGTCGGTCAGGGAGTTTCAGCGGTAGTTGCTGCATGCCGGGGCTGCTCTTGCGTTTCTACGTGTGAGGCTGCCGGCCGCGAGGCGAGGCAGGCGCTCAGGAGCTGAAATCAAAGCCAGGTTTCCCCTGCGCTTAGCGCCAACCGCCGCTGTGGGGGGCGGGGGGCGCTGCAGAGAGCCCGTAACCCCCCTTGTAGGCCCTGTATTTGACGGAAAGCATTTCAAGCCCGGGGTGTGGCAGCCCGCCCCCGAGCTCCCCCGCCTCCGTCCATCGGCCTGAACCAGAGCCCGGCCCGCAGAGAGGCCGGGAGGGGGAGGTAACGGCTTTCACGGGACCCGCTCGGGCGGAGAGGGACAAGCAGTCCCGCGGAGAGAGGGGTGCCCAAGACATTACCTCCCTCCTCGTCTCGCGGACGGGGCGAGCCCTGCGCTGCGGGGCCTCCCCCCGGGCCGGGGCCGGGGCCTCGCCCGTTACCTCGGCGTTGGTGCTGCCTCCCGCCAAGGGCACCGCGCGCCTCCTCTTCGAGCCTCGCGTCGCCCCACGACGCTGGCGGGGCCGGGCCGCTCTGCCCCGCCGCCCGGGCACGGACCCCACCGGGCGTAGAGGCCTGTGGCCCCCCCCAGCCCCGGGCTTCGGCCCCGCCGGGACGCGACGCTCTCCGCAAACCCGCACTGCCGGGGCCCGTTCCGGCTCCTCGCTGCCCGGGCGGGGGCGGAGGCGGAGGCGGAGCCAGAGCCAGGCGAGCGGAAGTGACGCCACGTGCAAAGCCCCGAGCTCGAGCCTTGTGGCATGGCGGGGAGGGCCCCCCCAGGAAGCGACGCGCTGGCGGCGCTGACGTTGCGCCGCGGTCTGTCGGGACCCGTAGGTAGCGATGGCGGCCGCGCTGGCGGCTCCGGGCGGCGGCGGCTCCGGCTCCGCGGCGGCGGCGGCGGGCGCGGCGCGCGGACCGGCGCTGCGGGAGGGCGCCCGGGTGTCCGCGCTCTGCCTGGCCTGGTACGGGCTGAGCGCGGGCGGGAACGTGGTGAACAAGCTGCTGCTGGGTGGCTTCCCGCGGCCAGTCACCGTCTCGCTCTTCCACATCCTGGGGCTCTGCGGCCTCCTGCCGCCGCTGCTGCGCGCCTGGCGCGTCCCTCCGGCCGGGCCCGCGCAGCTGCCGCCCCGCGCCTACCCGCGCTACATCCTGCCGCTCGCCTTCGGCAAGTACTTCGCCTCCGTGTCGGCGCACGTCTCGCTCTGGCGGGTGCCGGTGTCCTACGCGCACACAGGTGAGGGGCGCCGGGGAGAGCTGAGCCCTTCCGTGCAGCCGCCGCAGAGCCTAGTTCAGCCGGCCCCAGGGAGCCCCCTGCGTTATTCCGGGCCCGGCCCGGCCCCCCTCGGGCCGGGGCGCCTTTGGTGGGGAGGGGTGCCATTTCTCTGACCTGTCCTTGGCTCAGCCTCGTTGCTTCCCTTCCCTTCCCTCGAAACTGAGTTACCCCTGCCCTGGTTCCTGTAGAGTCTTTCCCAGCTCATGTACTAGTAACGTTTGCTCCTTGTGGCCTATTATATTCCTCAAAAACAAGGAGTCCGGTGGCACCTTAAAGAGGATTTTACCCACGAAAGCTTATGCTCAAATACATCTGTTAGTCTTTAAGGTGCCACCGGACTCCTTGTTGTTTTTGTGGATACAGACTAACACGGCTGCCCCCTGATATTATATTCCTGCCACTCCCCTTTTTGAGCTACCCATCCTATTTACTATTTTCTATAGACTCTTAATCTGGTTCTTTGTGTCAGCCTGAGCTATGGACTCCCCACCCCTCTAAATGTATGATCAATGTTAGGCTCAGCCACATTCTAAACAAATGATGTTTTAAAGGAAAGGCATAACACTTTGAGTTTCTAACAGTTTTGTGAAACTTCCACTTGACAAAAGTTAAGGAGTACTTGCGGCACCTTCGTTGATGATCTTAATCTTTGTTTTATTTTCATAACCTCAGTTGTGACATTAACTCTTCCTCAGTACTAGGGTTTGGATATGTCCTTTTCCAGACTTCTGTGTACTTTCCCCATTCATGCTTTTCTGTTGGGAATAGTTTGACTTTAGTACCCTTATTTAAACTTCCCTTCTGCTTTCAGTAAAGGCAACAATGCCAATATGGGTGGTTCTGCTGTCAAGAATTATAATGAAAGAAAAACAGACTACAAAGGTAAGGAAATTACTGGTGATTCCTCATCTTCCTTTCCATTGCTAATCCATGCTGAATTTAATGACAGGGATTGAAAAATTCACTCACATGGGGCAAGTGGAAATCTTTCCCAAGCGAGTACTGTAAGATTTCAGAGAGTAAGCATTCATTTTACAGATATAAGCGTCTAGTCCTTATAATTGTAAAGAAATCCTTCCAAATATGAAGAGCGAGCTTATTCTGTGCTATCTGGAGCCAGACTCCTCCCATGTATCTGGCACAGTATAATTTTCTCAAGCTGCAACAAGGTGAAAGCGGAAACCCAGGATCTTGTTGTCCCTCTAAAAATGTGCATGAATGTTGTTGACTTGAAAGTTCCTAGAAGATGCATGCTGCTGTCATCTGCTTCCTCTTCCAGGTGTATTTATCACTGATCCCTATAATCAGTGGTGTACTGCTGGCTACAGTCACTGAACTCTCTTTTGATATGTGGGGACTCATCAGTGCTCTTGCTGCTACACTCTGTTTCTCGCTTCAGAACATCTTCTCCAAGAAGGTAATAGTTCTGTTGTTCGTTCTGCTGGATGGAACTCTTAAATATGTGGCATCACCTTTCGGATGGTAGGAATGTATTTCCCAGTATAGAACTGGGTTTGTATTCTTATATGGTGCTTTGTGCATCTGTTATATGTCCAGCAATAGTTCACAAAGCCTTGGAAGTTAGCTGTTATGTTGAGTGAAGAAAGTTGGCCATGACCCAGAGTTTATCCTTGGCTTTGTTCCATGCCATGGAATCTTTAGCTTCCATCAACAATGATTGAGAGGACTTCATGTCTAACAACATATTTGAAGGATGGCATCTTTACTGAGCCAGCCCCTCTCTCCAGACTGAAGTGCCATTACTCCAAGTCCTGCAGTGGAACTACAATCCAAATTTAAAACATGTAAATCAACTTGTGAACAAAAGTCAGACTTCTTAATACCAAACAGAATATTTAGCACTTATTAGTATGTGACTGATGCCCTTATATAGAATAAAGACTTGGCTGTTGACCCTTCCAGCATTCAAGTCAACTAGGCAGTACATCACTGCCTTCAGGTAGGCTGCTAGTTATCTTTAATCACATGGTACAAATTGAGTTGTAGGTTCTGTGAAAGAGAAGTATTGTAGTTGTTTGATCAAACACTACATCAATGAGTCAAATGTTTGGAATTGTACTTGCTGAAACAATTCCCCATCCTTTGAGTGAGGATGGTCAATACCTGGAGAAAGGGTGATTTCTGATGTCTTTATCAGGTGTTGAGAGATTCCAGAATACATCATCTTCGGCTGCTAAACATACTCGGATGTCATGCTGTGTTCTTCATGATCCCAACATGGGTTTTGGTGGATCTTTCTTCCTTTCTAGTAGAAAATGACTTGGTAAGTCTTTGGCAAGCTTCAAGGTAGGGTAATTGCTTGGACATCTCTCCTGCTTTTTAAAGATTTATCCATATCTAAGGCAAGAAGTATTGTAATTGCCACCATGTGCCACTAAACAGTGGTGAAAAAGCAGGCACTGAGGTTATGGTAAGGGCTCACTACAGAGTCACGAGGCAAAACAAAACTTGCCTGGTATGTGGCACTAGCACCTTGAGGCAAGAGCACTGAAGAGCAGATTGTGATGAGCCTAAAACATAGGTTGTGAGGTTGCCTGTTGAAATGGACAAAACAGTTAATTTGAGAGGGGAGATAGTGGTGTACCACTGCCTTTTTACTCAGCCCTTCCTACCAAAATGCCAGTAACAAGTGACTTGTTTGAGAAGCTATTGTGAATTGCATCCTTTTCGCCTTACGAAGTTCTCTATTTCTTCTCTGAAACTGAAGATTAACATTTTTTTACTTTGTTTTTTCCATAGAGTACAGTGTCCCACTGGTCCTGGACTTTAATGCTGCTCATAATCAGTGGATTTTGTAACTTTGCCCAGAATGTCATCGCCTTCAGTATTCTTAACTTAATCAGCCCATTAAGTTACTCTGTTGCAAATGCCACAAAAAGGATCATGGTCATTACAGTTTCCCTTATAATGCTTCGAAATCCAGTCACCAGCACCAACGTTCTTGGGATGCTAACTGCAATCTTAGGGGTATTTTTGTATAACAAGGTAAGTCTCTATTGTGAAACCTACGCCAGTCAGCCGTTACTCTTTACTGACTGTAAATAGCCTTTGTAAAATGAGTTGTCCATAAGCAGACCAAAACAGGTAATTGTGTAACAAAAAAAATCCCAAACAAAAATCATAAATGGCCAAGTTGTCAGGCTCAGGGGAGACCAAGAAATGAATGGGCCTTGGTTAATGAGCTCCCCCTGGACCTTGGGTGGATTGAGACACATTGACGTTGGAAGTGGGGAGCAGTGCATAAGGGGAGACTTGCTTTGCTGCTCCTTACTGTGACATTTGTGGCATCAGTGGACTTATCTCCAGAGTTGTAAATTATAGCATCTTTCACCACCACTTAAATTCATTCTTACAAATGTATACAGTGCTGCTCTTGCTCCTTTTCAGCTTCTACAAGCACACAAATACGTGTGCCAATAACTTGTTTGTTTGGGGGTTCTGGTGAACGTAACAAAAGATTTCTCGTGATCACTGTTCTAACCTAGATTGACTTCGTGTTTCACTAGTGGCTCAAGGCTTTTGAGCAAAATCAGGACTCTTGTTAACTAGGAATGATGATGGCAGAAGATTTGCATTAGGAGTAATTGTGGATTTAAAACATTAGTGAGCACAGCCTCTAAGGCAGTGGTTCTCAACCTGTTTACCATTGTGGGCCGCATATATGGCCCACAACATGTTATGTGGGCCGCATCCAATACTACCTGTATGGCCCTGAGACTGTCACCTGGGCCGCAGCTCTGTGCTGACTGGGCCGCAAGTGGAGAACCACTGCAGTCTAATGTGACTGGTTTCTGTGTGGAACATGTGTCTGCTCTTTGCTCACTGTTGTCTGAGAGAAGTAGTTAGTTAATTAATTCTTTGTTCCACAGACAAAATATGATGCAAATCAGGAAGCAAAGAAGCAGCTACTTCCAGTTACAACTGGAGACCTTATGAATATGGAACATCACTGGAACACTCCTGAAAAGTCTCAGAATGGACTCATGGCATTCGCACAACATGGAGATTATCAGTATGGCCGAGCCAGTGTCTTGACAGATCACTTCCAGTATAACAGGCAAAACTATCCAACGACATACAACTTAAACAGATATGATATATAGGATTCTGATAAGCAGGTATAGACTGTAACACAGTTTCCCCAGAATTATCAGAAACTTCTGGCATGCCCTTGAATGTAAAGCTGTAGATTGTATAGGTTCTTCAGAGGGGAAGATGCATGTGTATCAAAAGTGGTATAGACTTTCATTCTCAGCCAAGCAGGTCTCTAAACATGAAGCAATTGGATCAGACACTGGAAAGGAGTGTACAGTATAATTCTTGTACAGAGATTCTGGTGAAATGCAAGTGTAAAACTCCAGCGTAAATATTTGCTGTCATATGTTTTCAGA